TATCTAGAAATTTATAATCTGTTAAGTTATTTTTGATATAATAACAATTTATATATTATCGCGTGGTGCATTTAAATTACCTTCGCGTCATGTGTGATAATATACTTAAATAATAATTTTAGATAAGACTTAGACTAATAATGAATATATAATATATAGTATAGCGTAATTTGTGAAAACAAAAAAACTCGGTTAAAGGGTTAAATTAGGAGCTTCGAGAGACCGTGTTCAGCCACTTGGAGTAAAACCGTTCTCAAAGAGAAAAACGCCCAAATCTCTCTCCCCTTTAATCCCTTTTCTCTCATTTCTACCCCCAACTGTTGCGAATCTCACTCGGTGCTTCTCAAGAGGAAGTGGCACTCGAGAGAGAAAAGTGCATTTCCAGAGATGAAACGAGTTTTTAACGATCTCTCCTTCCTTTTTCCTCCGTAGACGTTCTCCCGATCCCCAAATTCAAAAACGTCGAAACCGGAAGTCCGACCTTCATCCCCAACGGAGACGCAGCCCCGGGTCCCCAACGGTTCTCCTTGACCCAGCACACGAATTACCATCCCTATAGACGCTAAAAAACGCCGATGTCGTCCGAACGGCCGAGAGAAACGCACGAGAGAAATAAGTTTCATAAGTGCGCGAATGAACAAGGAAGAGAGAGAGAAGAAGAGTGATAGAGAGCGTGAGAATGGATGCAAATAACGCGTGTAATTTCCGGCCGGAATCTTCACACGCAGATATTACATATATCCGTAGTTTTGATTATATATTACGATTTGTTAATTTTATAGAACGGTGACTTTTTTGAACTCGTATCCAGCAATCGAGATTAGCGCGCAGTAAGATTACTGAATAAGGATTATTAAATTAGCCTGGAATGAATGCGCTCGCGCGGTTTATACAGTAAGATTAGCTAAGCCACCGTCTAATGTTAGCTGTACGATTTCATTATTAAGCTAACATAAAATTTTATCACTTAACCTTTAGAGTGTATAGTAGCTTTTTGTAGTAAGTCCTAAGATGTGTCTTGCTTTTTTATGGATATACATGTGTTATTTTTAATCGTGATAATGTCTATAAATGTCTTAAGGAATTAACAGTTAAAAATAATTAAAAAGTATATAATATAAGTAATTAAAAAAGATAAAAACATAAGGTATATCCATTTAACGCTTTTCAATTGCAAATATTAAATACTATAAGCTAGTAAATTTACGACTAATATATCGTGAATACATTTATTTCAATATTTGACGAAAGAAAAGTAGAAAACTCAGCTTATTACATAATTATTTTTATTATTTTCTATATATGTAATTATATATATAAAATTTAATTTTTGTATTCTCTTGTCAGAAATAGATAGAATATCATGAACACACAAGTTATCATCTGAATGAGTTATTAAATAAGATATTTTGATTGCTTATCTCATAAATCACTTAATTAATTTGAGAAAGTAATATTCTTTAGATTCAATGATCCTTATATATATATAATCGAGATATTTTTGTAGACGCGAAGATGTCGTCTTTAATGTAGGTGAAATTGAGTTGGAAAGCGTTAAAAGGAGATCGATAAATCGCCAATGTGATGATGGTGCTCCGGTTTTGTGCCTGCGCCCTACTGTGAACGGATGTAAGGTCGGTGCGACCCAATTGACCCATTTTTCGGGCGTCTCTTTTTTGCAAATTAATCACGAACTCGTCGCGCGATTCGTTGTCGAAACTCGTTCAAAAATCCTATGAGTCAACCGCTGTGATGCACGCTTGGATCTCTCGGATCCGGCAAGAAGATGTATGTAAAACTACTTTCGAGATTCTAAATCGGTGAGATTAGTCTGTTTGTTCTCGAATTCAAATTACTCCCCGCAAAATTCTATCCGTTCCATCTATCCATCAATTCATCCATCCATTCTGCAGCCTGGATCGTTTCACGAGATATATATCCTATACATAATACCCACGACTACGTTTTTAGTCTGCTTCCCTCTGATTTCACTTTAACTCGCCCTGGATGAATACGCTTCGATGATTTAACTTTTTTACCTTTTTTTTTGTTCTGTGTTCTTGTTCTGCTTTCTCTTATATTATTTTTTTTTTAATTTGTCGCGTATATATAAGTAAAAGAGTGATATTAGAGTATATTTCATTATACACATAAAATTTAAGAATTTATAAATACAAGAAATATATCTCTAATGAAAGGAAATACAGTTAATTTTTTTGCTTGCACATTTTTTATTATTTACTATCTTTTTTATGTAATTATATTTGTAACGAATAATTTCTGGCGTTAGAAAAAATCTTATGAAAATTGATTTGTATCTCCGGGGCGTTCAATTTATATAATTATAAAATATGGCTTTGCATATATTGAAATTAAGCGCAGTCTTTTCCTCATATTTTTCTTCTGAAAGAATACATAGAAAATATGTTCGAAGTTTTCCATCTATCTTATTTATATCATGGATCATACTTTTTAGTTTCTTTTTATTTGATCAATTTTTTTACTATATTCGATTTTTTAAATATTTTTAATAATATTAATTTTTAAATTTTTCGGTTAGAAACGTTTTTATAATTACAATATGCTGTTATTAATAACAAAACATGAATTTCTATTAAATGATAAATTGTCTCAAATATCCAGTACCTATTAGATCTTGAATTTGCGGAAGCTTTTCAGGGCGATTGTTCTGGTTGCCCTCTCCATTCTCTTCTCTAAGTCGATTTTGCTTTTCTGCAAATTTTATTCTTCAATTTCAACTCTTTGCAATTCTATATATCATATTAAAAATATTATTGTATCTTATCTAAGTACCCGATAATCCCATAATTAACGATACAATAATCTCGCTCCCAATAATCTCGAATTAACATGGAAATCGTAAATGTATTTAATTACTTAAATTAATTGTAATTAATAAAAGTATTTAAAAATATATATTGTATATAACATTAAATTTTTTATTAATATTTAAATTTATATATGAAATTTATGTTGGTGGCTAACATAAATCCGCGAAGGATTTGAACGCGCAACACAATGTGTGACGACATATTAATTATTACAATTTATTTATTTTTAATTATCCATGTATTAATTCGGATTGCAAAGAGTTAAGCTTCTTCCACTTTCCATATTCGATCATCAGATTTTCCATTGAAGATCAGTCTTTTGAGTTATTGTAAAGTAACACGCGCCACTTCTGTACCACCTACTCCGGTTACGTCCTCTCGCCACGTCCTGGTACGTAGTACTATGTTCTTTTGTGCGATTCTATACAGGATATGGGTCTTCGAGCGTTCCTGCTGCACCAGGAACAACGGACAACTACAGCGGTGGCCCCCAAAGGGGTTACACAGGATCCTCGTCCACCACCAACAATTATCACCCTTATCGTCGCTAGGAGGAATAAGACAAAATCAACAAAGTAGGCTGCAGTCCGAGATCTCTCACCCCTTCTTGTTAGTTATGTGTATATACATTTGCATATAACTAACTATACTTATTACAATGAATATAGTTTATATTAATTATAGAACTCTCGTCTAATCTTTTTTCCATAAATCTCTCAATGCACTCAACTCTGTATTGGAGGATTCATGGAAAAAGATCAGCATCCGATTATTCGCGACACAAGCACGACAATTACGCGACATTACGCGTATAATCGACGAACAAGATGCGACATTAGTTGAGTTTATTCGATTTTGATGAAGCAGTACATGATGATTGATAGACAGAAAAAGAGAGATAGAAAAAAATTGCAGAACTTGCGATTTGTGCTAACGGAAAATAGATGGAGAAAGTTTGCGGATGAAAAACCGCAAAGTTGCTCCATTTATTTTTCGTTTGACGATTATTATGACAGAATGCAAAAAAAAAAAAGAAAAAATCTGCGTCAATTAAATCTAAGATTTAATATGATATTTCATTGATTGGTGCTACTCACGGGGACATACATCGCGATATATATTTTACAGCGAACATTATCCCTATTAAAATTAAAATCATCTTTCTATCGAACTTTTTTCTTACCTCATGTAAAATTCACCATCTAATTCTTTGAATAAAATTTAATAATATTCTTAATAATGTGTATGGCTTTTTAATAAAATTTGGATACTATTATACTTTCGTTGAGGCTAATTTTTAGTTTTTAATGTCTAATTTTATTATATATATTATATTGTAATCAAAGATTATATATAAAATAAGATAATAACGATAGCTTTTTTACAAAAAGTTCCAATTTTTCCAATAGCATAGTATTTAAATTTAGATGTTTGCGATGTGTATCTATTGAATGCTTCGTGAGAAGTTATCAATGATTTGTCACTAATAAATAATTCTTAAATGACATAAATTACATAAAAAGATTACAGCGTTTGATTTATCGACTATTTTTCTCCATTTTGAAACTGCGCGCACATTTTTCTGCATGTTCGAATTAAGTAACTGACATAATATTCGCCATCTAGACATTTGATTGCTATGGATACAAGCGAAGCAATCTAAACGATGGTTTTACGAATGCACATTGACGTTGGTATATGCCCATGGATGCGATCGAGATTGAATGTACATAAGTTAGCGCTATGTTGCGGGCAGAAATGTCGATTAGTATAAGGAGCAGTAATCTAATTCATCCTTAGTCAAAACGTGTACAGAAATAAGGAATCAACCGATTGGACAGACAACAAATTTTATTGACCATGTTATAAAAAAGACAGGACAACGATAACATAGGAATATTTTTTTTATAATTCGGGTATTATATAATTCAAGAGTTTCAGTTCGATTTATTTTTAGCATTAATTGTAGTGACTTCTTGTCTTAACTCTTTTATGAATCTTTTTACTTTCGTTTGATTTGCGCGAGATTAAATTGTTGTTTCCACCTTTCGTGTTTTCTCGTTTCTTGTCGATTGTAATTGCGTGCGCGACGACAGCATTAAAATAAATATAGAACCTAATATTTTTTTTTTTCGATTTCTGTCGTAGGAAGTTTATTTCCTAGACGTCCTGTTCATTTTACTGACTGGATGACGCGAGGCTTGTGGACTTGAGGTAAAAAAATTTAAAGGCGCGAGTGACATTTAACATAGAGCAAAGATGTGCCCCGATCTCGATATCTTTTTTCTTTTTTTTCTGTTGTGATTCGACTCGCTTTAAAGTCTCGGCATCCGATATAAGAAAATATTTAGATTCTTTATTATAATTAAAATTATAATAACGTGAGAAAAAAATTAACACACATTGTCGCTTATTAACGAGAATGCAGTAATGCATTGATTCACGAAAAAGTTATTGTAGAGTTATTTATTTATTCATAATTAATTATTTTTAAAAAGACGTTCAAACGCATACAGAAATACGGAGAAAGAATCAATCTTTGCATTTCAATTTGAAATCTTATTTTAGACTTGCCAAGCCGAGAGAAATAATCAGAAATAATTTTTCAAACAAAGTGTTAAAAAATCATAATTATTTGAATGCACAACATAAAATTATATTCGAATTTGCATTTATTAATCTTTCATTACCACCTTGAGACTTTTTGAAATAAGAGTCACGACAAAAATAAAGCGAACATGGGCAGTCTTGTAAAAAGATAGATAAGGTTAAAACGCCAAACGTATTTAATAAAATTGCGATAGGAAGTAAGGGGTAAGTGTAGTGGTTAGATACGGAGTTATATATTTATACGCATATACGACTGTATCTTATGTTAAAATGGGGAATGTAAGTTCCTCCGTATATATGTCACGGTTGCATCTAAGATGCGCATTGATTTATACTTTGAAATGCACCTGCGTTCTGGCACCTGGTACTTCCGCGATAATTTTTCAAATTTCTTTTAAAGAATTCCGAAAAGAGACAATTACAACAACGAAAGAAGTGCGGGTCAACGCGTACGATCGTGTAATATTTGTAATGATAATATTAATATTATTGATTAAGAGTATGGTTAAGGAATTATATAGAGTTACCCGGCGTGGTACGATTGCTGTTGATGGCACCATCCCCATTTTTACTATCTTCTCTCGCCGCTGATGCGCTGTATTATTGTTCAAAATATTTTGTTATATACTGCGAACCAAGAAGCCAGCGACAAATGCATTCTTTTATAGCATAGAGATAATTAATATTCTATACGGATTAATAAACGTTCACATTTTTAATAGAAACATTTGGCGGAGAGTGGAGTTATTAATTCACGGATTATATCTCGTTATATTTTATTCTTTTTGATCTTGATCCTTTTTCCTTTCAGCTCCAGTTTTCTATTCGTAATTTTGAGAATTAGATATATTTATTTGTTTTCTTTTAAAGAGAAAGTTAAATTATTTAACTTCTAATAAGCCATAATTTAAAATCATAAAAATTAAATATTATTTAACTTATAATAAATTAACTTATAATAATTTCACAAATTCGAATTGTTTTAGACGATTGCAATAATAATTAATACACGATACACAGAATACAATGATTTATTACATCAAGATGAGATATGTACATTGCTGTAAAATCGTATTTTCAGAAAGTAGCTTCGGAAGTCCATGATTTTTTTATCAAGCGGTAAGTATTTGTCTATCTATATATTATATCTATACATTATTTTTATCGCTTTTCTTATCCATTATCGCTATTCTTTGTTAATAACATGTTACAATTTTATTAAAAAATCATAAATACAGGTACAAGTACAGAGAAAGTATTTTCGTACTTAATTATTTTCGATCTCATATTGCGTTTATTAATGATATGACTCTTTAACGTTCTAAAATTATAAAGTTATTGTATTATAAATAAAATTATAAAGTTATAATATAGTAGAAAAAGAAAAAATTTGTTTCACTCTTACTTAAAAATGTATTACTACGAAAATTCGATTTTATTCAAAAAATCTTCTAATTTTTAATTTACTTAATATTGAGATACATAATAAAGCTAGATACGTAATGTTATTTCCCGTAGTTAATTAAATATAGATAATTTATAAATTTCGGATATGTAGATTGTCCCTTTCGAGAAATGTGCGTGTGATAGTTGCTCTATCGAGATCTTTTAAATATCTTTATCGAAATCTAACAATCTAATAACTTTTTATCACATCAAAAGCCCTGCAAAATTTATTCTTATACTTACTTACTCTATGCATTATTATATCTATTCCGAAGAGTTCCTACATTCGATTGTTACTTTGATTTTACAATTGTATCGCTTTTTCGATGGCTTTTGTATACTAACTATAAATTTGTTTCTACAAGTTACGGAGGTATACTGCGTTTCTCTATAAGAGAAACGCAAGAATAAACGGAATTATAATAATCGTCTAAATTAGGATTAGCTTAGGACGGCTTGGTTCCATACGTATATAGTTGTTCAAATATCTTGTGGCTTTTTAAATATTCTTTTTCGTATATATATATAATTTATATGTAGTACGTGTTTCCAATATATTTTTTACTGTTATGTTTTTTACTGTCACATATGCACATATATATGTATAGGTGAATGATATTTAACCCAATAGAGTAATTCAGAGAAGTACAATACTTTGTAGAATGATTTATTCTAGTCGAGCTTTATCTTCAATCAATTCTTCATGCAAGATAGATTATGCAATCTGCCTAGTTCAAAAATTTATGAAAAAGTAATCTGTTATACATGTGAAAATTTGTTTCTATATGTTTTTGGATTTTTTTCAGATTTGTGTGTGTAACTTTCTATCGAAGCACCGACGGATTAATTTTATTCATTATAATGATGCGTTTTTTGTTGAATGTATTAGACTCGATCTTAAGTTTTGGCTAAAAAACTTGGCATATAAATTTTATCGAGTCGAATATATGATTATATATTTTATATTCTAAATACAAGGAAAACTCTGATTGTTTTAAACTTATAATGACAACTATACCTGCGTCAAAAATTAATAATTGTTATATTTCAAGAATTTACGAAACGTTATCATTAGTATAAAAGATATTATTTATTGTATGAAGAGTTTTCATTTCTGTCATAAATTATTATGTTTGCCAATTTCAAGTTCTACTATAATCTGGAAGATTTCCAACGGCGCAACAGTTATTACATAAGTTATAACATCCATTCATTATATTTTCATATGTGTGCAGAATTACAAGCAGAATTGGCACTTGTAGATTCATGCTATGCAACATTTATGACATCGTTGCCCTTTCGATTTTGCCTTGCTGCCATTTCCCTGTTCCATTTGCTTACGAATAGAATCTGAAATAAATAAAAAAAACAACTCCCCCTTTTCAAAAAATTCCATCCCATCCAAAATTCAGTTTTAGAAATATTGTATTGGTCATTCTTATCTTTGCAAACTGTAATCTATTATTATTTTTATATTTGAGGAAAATTTATTTTACACAGTATAGAAAATTTGTTGAAATATATATATAATAATAATAATAATAAAGGGATTACCAGCAATTGTTTTCTTATCCACCGCTGACAAAGCATCACAAAGCTCTTTTACTAATTGTACATCGGGATTTAATCCGGAAGTCCAAATCATTAACATTCGAAATCCGTGCTCTTTGTAACTCGAAGAACCTACAATTGGAGCTTTATCGTCCTTTTTATAAAGCTGCTCTAAGTGCACAATAGAGGAATATCGAGGTACAAATCACATGTATAAACCGAGATTAATGATATGATAATCATCTTACGTGTCATAAACCAATGTGTGTTTATTATTTTTTTAATTAATATTTTGCAATTCTTTTGCACCCTAATGAGTCGAGAGACCTATATTTCTATATAATTTTTAAAACAAATATCGAGGAAATTAATTCGATGTTTATTTTAGAATGGAATAATGATTCGCGACAAAGAAACCAAACTATACAAAAAATAATGTCGATTTACCTGTATATTGATGCTCGATAGCTTTGATCTGTTCAGGAGTGAAGGCCCAATGAAGAGCTAATTTTTTCCAATCGCCAGGTGCTAATTGTTTATAGGCCAACTTCCAGAGAATAGATCGAACTTGTTCGGAGAGACGTCCGTTGTTGCTGGAGATGCTGCCACCGCATGATCCTTCTCTCCATCGCCTCCGCGCTGGAGTCAATTCTCGAACCTCTTTGTCGGAATTCGAGATTTCCTAAGATTTGTAGTAAATTTCTATATTTTTTATTTTATTACAATTTAACACTAAAATCGTATTTGGAATATATTCAACATGAATCGAATCTATCTTTTTGGAACAATATTTGCAATATAAAATTTTTCGTAGGGTAGAGCGGGGTCAAAAGTAACACGGGGCGAAAGTAACAACTCACACAAATATCTATAGATATATAGTAGATATATACACGTGCGTTGGTCAGTGCATGAAGCTAAACAACCTACAATATGTCTCAATACGTCTGCGGCCTCGGTACTGAGTGAACGTGTACAGTGACGAAAATATATTTTCGAGGTCATAAAGTATCTTTTTCGGGAACATCTTTTTGCACATCTGTTTTTTTTAATATTTTGATTAATTTGATTCGTTGCATCATGCTTGAATGATTATCGAACATCGATGTATTTCTATACACAAATAATGCGTCGTCAAAATATTGAGAGCTATCCTTATGCATGCAGTAGTTGACACGGATTATAACTGTACCTTGCACTGCTTGTTAAGATCAGCTCCATGCTGAATCATGGAATCGAGTATTCCTTTGCATCCTTGACTCGCGGCGACGTGAAGGGGTGTGAAACCCTCCTAAAAATATAAAAAAATAGACAAAGAAAAAGTTGATACATATTGATCAGACATGATATAAACGCGCCTATCATTACGATGAAATCTCGCTTCTATGAATTGTGTTGATCCAATAAAAAAAAACTTTGTCGACAATGAATAAAAATTCAAATATTTTACGAAAGATATTCTTCTTACGTTTAAATTTATTATCAAAGTTCAATCGATATAATTATGGCATCTTATTTTGTTACATTTTATTTTATTTTACGTCTTATCTTGTTCACTTTGAATTATATCTTTTTCCGGTTGTTAAGTTAACGTAAAGTTGATCGATTATTCAATTTACCGCATCGGTTAGCTCGGTATTTGCTCCAGCTTTTAATAATAATTGTGCTATTCCGGTGTGTCTCGTTCTGGTGGCTACATGAAGTGGAGTATTTCCATCATTATCCTGGGCATCTACATTCACGCCTAATCCTATAAGAACTTCGACCGCTTCCAAGTGCTCCTCAGCGCAGGCATAATGCATCGGGGTCTGTCCTTTCTGAAAATATATCCAAATTTATCGCGAGATGTTCGATGAATTTTGAAAGCACGATATACTTGTATGTGCATATATTATGAAAAAATACATATTTATATCATTATCTTTCTATATTTATACACGTAGGTCACTTTCATGTTCTAGCAATGACATGTATTTTTAGAACTAAATAAAAGAATTTTCTCTAAAAATAAAAATTGCATAGAATTTTTATTTAAATATTTTTATAATATTTGTGTAGAAAATAGAAAACGAAAATGTTGAATGAGAAAATATTTTTACATATTTTTCTATTTTATATTGAATGAGAAAAGACATGTTATTCTAGTTCTTTTTGCTACGGCGTTCAATATTTATTTAGCGAAAATATGGAAGTCATATAAAATTGAAATAAATAACACTTTTCGGAAATATTACTCATACAAGGGAGAGCTTTATATTAATTATTACAACCTTATATTGATTATTATAGGGACAGATATATTTATATTGGGAATAAATGTGCCATTATATCTTTATTTATATCTTTTAATCTAAAGAAACTATATGTGACTTTTTAAAATCACACATACATTGCAAATGATAAAATACTTATTTGATAGATATTATAAAATTTTTGAAAGATTTGATTATTAATTGTATTATTAGAAAATAATGATACGCGATATTATCTTTATTCTAAATTCTGCCACACGATTATTCTAACAGAATGGACGATTTTCCCTAATTGACATCAAGTGATATTTTTAGAGAAGATAGAAAAAATTGATTGTTCATGAATGGATATTCTATACGGCAAGCCATGCGGAACGTAAAGATGGTATCTCAATTAGAGATTAAAATTCCGCGCACGTCTATGAAGAAAATCGAGAGGAATGCACAAAAATAAATTGAATGAAAAAGCAAGAGTATCCGGCGGAAAGAAGTGTGGAGGGATTAGAGTTTGTTTACAAAGGCTCTCCTGCAAAATGTGTATGTTTGAGTTCGCGGTCAGCCGAGTTTCACAATAGTGGGGACTCCTTCCTTGGGGGATTTCGTTTGCCTTTTGATAGGAAGAGAAATACACGTTATAGCAGTCTCGACATCGGAGACACAAACACACAGAGAGAAGGGGAGAGAGAAAGAGAGAGAGAGAGAGAGAGACTCACTTTCCAGGATCTAAATTGAGAGGGAAAAGATACCCTCTGACCTACCTATCCTACCTACCTACCTATTTACCTACTTATGAGCGTATATACGATAGCACATACGGAAATCCGAGCGGTTCCTCTTACCACCTTTAAACGCACAGCAAACACTGTGTGTGTGAGAGAGAGGTAGAGAGAAACAATCGATTGTTCTTATCGATAAATTATAAATTCCGCCTTTTGTGTCTTTGTTCCTCCGCGCGATCGATACCGCACTGCTCCGTAGCCGTGGCATTTATTATTCTTGGACGATTGATGCATTTTCGCTGTTTCGCATTACGGGGGGCGTATAGTATGTATGATACATGCTGCAATTAAGAGAGGAGAGAGAGAGAGAGAAGTTTAATATTGTGATAATATAATCCATATAATGAGAAGCAAAACAATCTGTTAAAATCTGATTTTGTTAATCTTTATATTGGAGAAAGATATTTGTATAAATACGATATAAAGAGAGAGATTGTCATCTCTACTAACAGTAAGATGTAATCTGATTTCCGATTATTTGTTATTAGATTTTGTTCTTATGTAGCGTACTTATATAACAGTTACTTTTTTCCGTGGTTGTAGCTTACATTTTCAATAAAATTTTCTCTTCCTCTATTCTCTTAAATGGAATCAGTGTATTATCATTTATAAGTAGCAGTTTCAGTTAAGTTTATAAAAATAATACTGCAAACGATGAAATCTCATTTGAGAAGGATCAGATAGTGGTAGTGGTTGATTTTTCAATGAAATCTTGCTATCATAAGCAATAAAAGATGGAGGAGCAATGTGTGTTTCACTAAAGATCAATGAAATACTCACTGATCTTCGGTGAAATACTACTGCTTTAATCAGTGACATTTTTACAGATTTAGTGTAAAAGAGTAGATCATCTTTAAACTATCTGTGTTTGCAACATCTAAATTATATATATAAATATAATTAAATATTTTAAAATAATTTTAAAAACGAATAATAATATTTTATTACGAAACTGCATATTTGTTATATTACTTTGTGATAAAGCAAAAAACCTTGGGATCAAGTACATTTCCCAGGAGTAAACGCGTTTGTGGGAATATTGGGTGTATATATTTATTGTATCGAGAGGCAGCTTGAAATGTTCCAGAGCAAGTATCTGCGTCACACGTCAAAGCTGATCTCGGATTATGGACAGACGCTTATCGTCGTTACGTTGTATGTGAATAAAATATGCCAGAGAAACGCGACGGAGATAGCGGAAAGAGAGAGATTTATAGAAGAATTTTCGTTGTCAACTGATTTTAAATAAGGAAATGTCTCTCTTTTCTTTAAGAAATCCACTTTCAGATATAATCTCTACCAGGTACATTATATTATTGTTAAAATTCGAGGATAATGAATCTTTATTTGCATCTATGACACAGGTAATTCTCTAATTGGATGCTACCTTAAATGTTTGTCATTAATTGATGTCATTAGTTGTCCTAATTGATTGTCATTCACGCGAAATCAGACAAGTGCGTTATCTTTCTTCCTACTTATAATATGGAGTATTTATTATTACATCAAAGGCATCAAATTTACATGAAATACATATGCATTCTTCTACAAATTTACGGTTTTAAACACGGAATTTGAGATACATCGCAGTATTATGTTCCAAAATATTATTGCAGACAGTTATGCAGTCTGATCCCCGCCCGAAAAATGAGATGCATAAAAATATGGATAATTCGTGTTGGTATGCAAATATTTTCTGAGAGATAACTAATTATAATAATTTATAACAGTTAACTATGTACACAATTATGCTCTATTGTCTGAATAAATTTCCCGTGAAGTTTATGCGGAAGTGGTCGGTTTTTGGTTACCAATGCCGTTATATGAAATTTCCGCGAGTGGAATTTTGGGCTAGATGCTAATGGATGAACGGATGGATGAATATTTCTCGAGGCATCGAATCAGAGAGAAATGCGAGAATCAGATTTTCAGATATGGAATATAGCACATTGCAACGCCAAGTTCGATAATCCGAGACAAACGCACGCTTGTATTGTGAGAGCATATTAGCGTATGTACATATTTCTAAATGTACGCGATGAACTATATGTTATCCAACGTCGAGACAAGATAAGCCCATTTGCTGTGTATTACTTGTTCATTGGTTTAATAGCTTGTATAAGATATAACACGGATTACACGGAAAGTACTGGTTTTAGTGATTACACGATTAAATTTAATTTAAACGGTAAGGTAATAAAATAAACGCGACACACACAAAATTATAAATATTTTAGACTACCACATTTCATCTACAATAGAGAATTATCGAAGTAATTGTGTGACTTCTCCAATTCTTTTGACATCGCAAATCCGCGTTTTCTCTCTGTGGATGAAATACGTTCTTTCTATTTCTATATTTTTATGTAGCAATCTAATTTTTGAAAGCTTCCTGTCCCAGTCGCAGGAACCGAAATGATCGAGTTCTTTCGTTTGAGAATGAAATTAAAGTAACATCTAAAGATAGAAAACACACTCTTATATTTTTCCGTATAGTTTAAACATTGGCAATTTTACATAATAACGATTGAAATAATATATTGAAATTAAAGGATATTTGCGCTCACCTTATCCGTGGCATCGAGTATGATTTGTGGGATATTAGCGACTGCCGTTATCACTGCAGGATGTCCGGAAATGGCTGCATGATGAAGTGCAGTCGCACCGGTGGAATCGGTGGCCTCACCGTTTAATGATTCCACAGCTTCCGCGAGATACTCCACCACGCTTACATTGCTGCCGCGAGCACCACACATTAAGAGGGTATATTGTTTCTAAGCAGAAAGAGATCTTTTATTTATGCTTCCGCTACGACGAGATGGTCTTGCGAAAGAAAGCTCGTGGCTTTTACATTATAAGGCCGCGCGTGTTTCTCTCGCATAATTTTAATTAGTAAAAGAACTCTACTACGTCTCTCCCCTTTCTCTCCCTCTTTCTTTTCTCGTCTCGCACGCGCGGAAGAGATTCTTCTATAATTCACGTGTCTTATTTTCTTATTCCGTTAACGATTCGATACGCCCAACTACCGGAGGGAAAGCGCTATTATTTAGGACCGATATTAATATCAATATTGACACATTATTGATTTTAATTTCGTCGCGGTTTCCCGATAACGTATTTACTTTTTTCACAACCTCCGCGAGAGATTTCAGTTTCAATATTTGCTTTCTATCGTATCCGTGATCAATAAACTTCAATTTAACGCAGGATTTAATCCCGTGCAACATGTTCCGCAAATTTCCGTTAGACCAAACTTTTGCGTTCTTTCTTAAATGAAGTTTTCTTCACGTGGTAGTTTTGCGTTACATATATTCTACGCAAGTTTTGTGTATTAATAGATTTCGCGACATCTACAAACGTCCTTTCCTCAAGGAATAAAAATTTACTCTGACATGATACGTTTAATGAAAAACTTATTTTTAAAAGGATAATTGATATACCTTGTTAACCGCGGATACATTTGCTCCAGCATTGATCAACATCTTCACCGCGTCTCGGTGCCCGTGCTGAGCAGCCATATGTAAAGGGCGCATTCCATACTTGAAAGAGAAATGAACAGCTCGGAAATTAATGTTCGATAAGGAATTTCATCAAGTCGGCAGTTGTCTAGATTAAATTCCGAAAGAAGTGTCGCTTCAAAAACATCTAAATGAAGTATTCATTTATCAAATACTATTTTTACATTACCTTTTTACTTATCAAAATTATGACAAATCTCTAGAGAAAAGAGGGTCAATTTATATTTAAAATTAGAAATTTTCTATTTTTTTTTTATTACGAAAAAATAGCACGTTTCTTTTTCTCGTTAACTTTGTAATCATTTAATGAGTAGTTCTAATTTAAAAAATGTGTTATACCTTGTCTCTCGCTTCGATATCGCATTTGGCTAGCATCAACATTTCGATAATTTCCGTATTTCCTCTAGATGCTGCCCAATGAATCGGAGCGCGACCATACTAGAAAAAAAAAAGATGATTTTGATGATAAATGTTTAAAAAGTGTTTATTACCTTAAATATCATCTCTTTAATTAATTTTTTTACAAAATAAAGTACACATTAAATAAAATGAAAAGAATAACGTATTTATTCTTATCTCTGAAACATTTCTGATAACTTACGTTATTTCTGGAATCTACGTCAACAGTCTCCTTAAGTACTTTACGAACGGTGTCCGCTTCGTTTTTTATCACAGCCTCATGTAGAAGAAGATCATTCTTAAGGACTGATGAAAAGAAGATACAAATAATTTATACCTAATAATAAGGTATACCTAATATTCTTTATTTTTTAAACAATGGCTTATAAAATTATTTATTTTACGAAGTCATTAAATTATTTAAAAAAAATAAAAGTATATGTGTGTTACAAAATTTTTATTTTCAACTTTTTTATTAAAATGTAACAAATCACTTTTCTATCGTAGCATGTATGTATCATATATATATATATATATGGATTAATTTTTAGTTTTTTGTAATTTTCTATTTTTTTTTTATTACGAAAAAATAGCACGTTTCTTTTTCTCGTTAACTTTGTAATCATTTAATGAGTAGTTCTAATTTAAAAAATGTGTTATACCTTGTCTCTCGCTTCGATATCGCATTTGGCTAGCATCAACATTTCGATAATTTCCGTATTTCCTCTAGATGCTGCCCAATGAATCGGAGCGCGACCATACTAGAAAAAAAAAAGATGATTTTGATGATAAATGTTTAAAAAGTGTTTATTACCTTAAATATCATCTCTTTAATTAATTTTTTTACAAAATAAAGTACACATTAAATAAAATGAAAAGAATAACGTATTTATTCTTATCTCTGAAACATTTCTGATAACTTACGTTATTTCTGGAATCTACGTCAACAGTCTCCTTAAGTACTTTACGAACGGTGTCCGCTTCGTTTTTTATCACAGCCTCATGTAGAAGAAGATCATTCTTAAGGACTGATGAAAAGAAGATACAAATAATTTATACCTAATAATAAGGTATACCTAATATTCTTTATTTTTTAAACAATGGCTTATAAAATTATTTATTTTACGAAGTCATTAAATTATTTAAAAAAAATAAAAGTATATGTGTGTTACAAAATTTTTATTTTCAACTTTTTTATTAAAATGTAACAAATCACTTTTCTATCGTAGCATGTATGTATCATATATATATATATATATGGATTAATTTTTAAATTTTTTTGTACTTTTAAAATAAACGATATTATATCAGTCTTTTTTACTGTAACATGAGCGTATATAGATTAATTTCTCGATTATTTTGTTTTTGCGAAAATGTTGAAATAGAATTTCAAACGAAAAGCGTGGAAAAGTATGGATTTAATTAATTCGTTACAGGCTTTTCATTTTAACTTCTGACAGTCACATCGTAGCGCACACGTGCTGTCGTTACTATTGCACATCGTTTTTTTATAATTTCAAGTTGCACAGATATCCATACTTACGAAAAATACATACACATGCAAAACATTTTAATTACAGAAATACACATAATTATTTATTTCTCTTGCTTCTTCTATAAAGATATCAAGCATTGTGAAAAATATACGGTTGTTATATACATATGCGCGCATGGCAGTTGTTTTTAAGAAATTATTTTTATTTTGTCTATATACGTAAAATATAAAAGAAAGTGTAATTAAAATTTTCGTATAATATTAATGCTATTGTTTTTGTAATAAAGTTTTACTTTATTAAGAGAGACATTTTGATGGAGTGTAATAAATGATCTCAGAAATTATTATTAGTAAAGAAAATTTGTTTTTTTTTTCTTTGAAGAAGAGAGGAAAAAATTGGCAGTTGCGATAAACCAAATATTGATATCAGTTAAAAGGAAAGAATCCAGGCAATTCAGCCAAATGTGTGAGTGACTTTTCCAGGAATTTTACTATGATATAAATCTTAGAAAGTGCATGTTCCACTTCTCTCTTTTCCACTTCTTTTTCTCTCTCTCCCTACATTTCTCATATATTCACGTTTCATTTAGGATTGCCGAGACAGCCTTAAATTTTTGCATGTTTCGTAGCACATTCTGTATGGGGCGGACTCGTACTTTACTCACTTCTAGCAGTCTTTTGGTTCAGTACTTCGTCTTCGATCGCCTCGTTGAGATTCAGCGGTGGTGGGGCCTTAGCCTTCGTTATACTCAACTCTTCCTTGTCCACCATCTTTCACTGCCGTTGTTCTGAGTCTAGCATTGTCATTGGTGTCGCGGTTTTCCGTTGTTGTGCGATGCTAATGCATATCAAGTTGCAGGCCGACTACTAATTATCGACGACCTAGAAAACCAAATATTATTGAAATGCTTAATTACAGAAGCCGCAATTGAAAATACAAGTCAAAAAGAGACTTGGTTGGACGCAATTAGCAGCGCGCTTGATAATAAAAGAAATTAATCAATGGTTATATATATACTTGAATTATATAAATTTAGGATAATATTTGAGAATCAAGAGAGAAAAATAATATTTTATATAAAGAAGGATATTTTTAAATTAGAATTTAATTTATATATAAAACAAAAAAGAAATAAAAATTTAATAGCTTTTGTTTTTCTTGAGTTATTTGATAGATAAATTACAATATGAAGACAGTTTATTTATCGTTAGCTTATTAATATTGCAAGTGTCAATTTGTCTTGCCTAGCAATTATCAAAAATATTTTGAATACTTGTTATATTATTTATTGAAATTCCGTTGAGAAGCGGTCTATTAAAACTTGCATATATTTTTCGCAATTACAGCTTACTTATAATCAGCAAAATACATTAATAAAATACAGATGAATTAATTACAAGTATTTTTTTCTGGCTCCATATTTATATTATTTAAAATTTATTCGCTTTATCATGGCGAAATCTGTTACTATAATTTGCAAGGTATGCGGTTACGATATGATTGAAATGAATAATATATATCTCGCAGTTTGGTTAGCAGAATATAATATTTAATTTGATTTGATTAATTGGATGTAATTAATTTATGTGCGGACTTTGATTCTCGAAATAATATCAGAAACATCTCATTGTATCAAAGATTTGATATATTTATATAAATTTTAATATTTTAAATTAGTTTGCGTTGCGATTATAATATTTTGAATGTTCTAAGTTATATATATATACATTTTCACATTCATTTAAACGTAGTTACATTTCATCGCAGTTATTGCATATTTAATCCACTGCAAATTTTTCCAGAGTTTATTATACATCAGAGTTTGTTCGTTTTGTGCAAACACACGTAGGTGAAATCGCAGTCATAGATAAGTCTAAATTTCCCATATTACTCAAACGCACTGCAATAAGAAAAACTTTGATCAATCTCTTTCTCTTGCAAAACATTTCTAGTTCGCTTAACTTTTCTCTTTCAGCTTATTCTTTTGACATTTCCAACTGTGTTCCATTTTCATGCATAACAGACGTTTAAATTAAAAGCTTTAGCTTTATCAAAGCGCTGGTTTCATTAGTTCACAAATTACTTAATGATGAATGAGTCAGTGAAAATATATGAATTAGACATTACGATCAGATAGATATATTTAATTTATAAATTTCTATATTATTATTATATATAACTAGAATTGCGAGCTTCCTATTGGAAACGTGGATTAGGTATATTTAACGTAAAACGGTATTGTTTGCTCAAATAGTTTCTGATTTCCATCATATTTCCGGCACTCGCGGCAATATCTTAGAGATCTAACAATATTCCAGCTGAGTCAGAGACTGACTTCGTGGAATCGCGGAAACTCCAATAATTACGCTTAAACGAGAATGGAAATTATATCAAATGTCTTTATCGTAAAGATTGCAGGCTGTTAATAGGGAGTTACTTCTGTTTATAATCACCCTTAGCTGTGTAATCGATACCCGTTTTAAGCTTTATTTTGGAAGCGAATACATTGGCAATACATAATATATAACGGTCTAAAGAGAGATACGATCGTGTACAGAATATGTTGTGCACAGAATACAAATTTTGTCGATAGATATTGAACGAAAATATTCTTTATCACGAAGAGCGTAATGTAATGTACTTATATGTGTTTAACTTCTTAATATAATACATAACCACAATAATATAATATATATTTAATTCTAATTCAATGAACAATACTTTTGCATCCGTCGGGAAATGTGGGAAAGCGTACCGACTGGTTAGTTTCCGAGTTGGAAAATGCCTTTTATACTTCTGTCGCTTGGGAAAATGTGCTTTCACCCATGATACATTTATTCGTATTATAAGTTACAACTGCCATCTGTTTAATGATTGATTGTGTCTAACTTTACAGTCAAGGGATTCTCGGAGTTTCTCTCTCTCTCTCTCTCTCTTTCTCTCTCTCTCGCTGAACTCATGCAAATATAATCCATCCAGTACTGTTGAAACTTCCGGGAGTTTATTTGCATTTGTTTAATTCTGTATGAGATCTTGGATCTTGTCGTTTCTTATCTCGTCACGTAACAACTTGGTATATTTTAACAGTAATTTTTACTATGTACATTTGAAACGTCAAGAATATCGTAAATATTAATAATACTAAAAATTTCTCCCGCTCTGTGTTATATATCTTGAAATACATATAATTATTTAATAATTATTGTATAACATTATTATAGGATACACGGCACTATTTGAACATTATTTAGTATTATGATATATCAGAGTCTTAAGAAAATAATCTCATGATAAGATAAAGAAGCTTTTACATACACTGTTTTTGCTATATATACATTTGTTATACAGATATATTAGAATCGTCAACTTGGGTTTTCTCCGCTTTTTTAGCGTCGTTTGTTTTGTTGTTTCGAAGAAAATATAGTTCCATTCGATAGATTGCGTGTGTTGTACATTTCATTGCTATATCATCAGAATGGCTTTTCAGCGAGGTATGTCGTTTCGTTAATAATGTAATATCAGAGACGATGTTTCCGTTTCCTGATCATCCGCTCCATAAACGTGCATTTATCCGCTTGGAAAGTAAACGTGTTATTCGCGTGCAATGTGTAGTTCCATGTAAAATTAAATAAAGCGACGTAAATTACTGTCATCAAAACTTCTCGGACAACTTACAATGCATTATTATTCAAACTATTAGATTAAAAGTAGCAGTTAACTGTAAATGTAATACTTTTTTATCATGAATTAGAAACTAAAAATCTAAAATTATAAATTTTGATAGATTTATGTTAATACGTGGATCTTTAGGCATTAATAATTAAATAGTACTTCAGACAAGAAAAATTATTTAACAGTTAAAAATATCTATAATTAATTATATCTTATAAACATCATTTCTTTGAGATATAAAGCAAAGGAAATGCTTTATTATCTGTATTAGTACTTTGCTGGCGAAATAAAAGCACAGTTATTAAAGTTGCAAAAGAGAACGAGTTAGGTTGAGGAAATATATTCATCAATCTTTATCATCAAGAGGTATCACCTCGTAATATATTATCTTCTTCTGCTACCATTTTTCATATTTTGTCATCATGCGAGTGTCGATTTTTCTCTGAAAAGTCAAACCGGACAGCAACGACGCTTGGGTTTAAGAAGAATTTCATACTTTTTCTTGTTTTTCTAGAATATGTTTTATAAAACTTTTCACGGCATTTTTATCTCATTATCTCTCGTTTTTATCTTCATCCTACGTCATATCTTATCTAAAATCTCGTTGTTGCATTTTTTGCATTTTGCTTTATAAAGATCATATTGTGTTAGTGAAATATCTTTCTGTAGCGCGGATATAATGAGATGCAGTCGCTTGGGTATTTTTCCGGGGAAAAAAAGAGGGCTACATTTTACGAGATTGCACCGACATTTATTATCTTCTCTACAAAGCCGTGTTATTTTTGCGTGTATTTTTATTGCATGTTCATTATTTACATGTTTATTGATATTACATAATGATCTTGATATGAGAATTTCTAATATTTTTTACAGAGACTGTCCAATCTAGTCTGGCGAATTGGTATATACTACGACACTATAAGCGCGCGCTACGCACACATCATTTATTTTGTGTGTGTATATGTGTATAAAATTACATATTAACTCGAGTTCTCTATTTTTTCAAAATTTATTAAATTGAAATTACACACACACTTAATATTTGAATTGATAAAATGCGTTGCTCAGCCACGTTATTTCAGATATCAACACATATTATACAGGATTTTAGATATAAATAAATTAGAACATTTTGATATTTATAAAATTTAAATATAGAGTCATATTCACAAACCTCATAAGTTATATGACTGTGTAAAATGTCATTACTTTTCTAAATATTGCTTGAAGAAAACTAAAATACATTTTTTGTAATAAAATCATTCTATTTCAATATCGACAATTGCGCGATTAGCTACTTTTCTTTATAAGAAAGTTATACAAAATATAAGTTTTTTAAAATAAATCATTATTCATATGCAATAATTTCATATTATATAGATTTATTCCCGAGAAATAGCACAGCTATCAAAATGCCTTTAATAGGTAAGCAATGACAGATGCACAATTGGATTTTGAGGAATGTTTGGAGGTGTGCCATTGTTGTGTGCCCAGTACAATCCATAGTCGACACATGCGGTAAGATTTTGGTGCTTTGCAATGCGATAGTGCATTGATCTCTTGAATGCGAATCAGAATACGAATTCGCATTCAAGAGTCACGGCCAGATATAATGGACGCATGCCAAAATTGAAGATGAAATACTGAGCGAAAAGCTGTCTTTAATTAATCCGAGAAATTACATATAAAATATGTGTATCTCAATTAAAATGCAGACGGAAATTAAGTGATTCGATACTGATAACAATCAAATTAAATTCGGGCTCTATTTACTATAAATAAATTTAAAATTGAAATATTTTAGATATATGATTTTGTATTGAAACTATATTCGAGATAATTTGGAAATAGTTTTAATTATACACACTTAATATGTCGTCCTGGTAACAATTCTAATATTTTTTCTTTTGAGAATATATATCTCTTTGTATACAAATATTTTTATGCACACTATATTATCATTAATAAAAAAGATAAAAATTTCGAAAGCTATTGTATAAAAATGTATAAAAATTAAAATGTGTAATAAATCATTAAGCGTCCAACATAATTTAAAAGTGAATGCGAGAGAAATATTATCAAATATGATGTAAGAGAAACAATTGTGTTCCGATTTACAACAATATAAATTTTATTCTTGAAATATCTGATTAATGCGCGATAAATATTGAAATGATACTTGATTCGATATTGATGGAAGAGTGCTCTG